TGGGCACAGAGAAAGTCCAGAGCTATTTAACGTGGAATTCTATGTTCTGGAGACATAGAATTCTATGTCAACTTGTTTTCCCTTATGGAAGCCATCTTACAACTTGTGCTTTAATAAAATTACAAGTTTTCAAAATCTACAAGTTTTTCCAACTATTTTTCGAATTGTGTAACCCAAAGTTATAAATAAAAAAAATTAATTTAATATTTCCAGAAAATAAAACCAGTAATATTTTTTATAATATTTTTAACAGTGTCTTCGCAATATACCTGACGGCATTCACTAGAAATTATTTAACGCTAATTAGAAAATATAGTTCCGGTTTATTTAAATATGTCGACAACACATTTAAACAGTGAGGAACAGCTGATTTGAACTATTAATGAAACTGAATTATACACTGCAAAAAATTTTACATTAATTAACAATTTTTATTAATATGTTATTTATGTAAGAATCTAGTAGATACAATAAAAATTCAATTTAAAGAAAAATTAATCACTATTTACAATATATGTAAACAGAATGAAAATAGCCAAGTCATTCTTTAGATTTAATGAAAAAAACGTGTTTTTTTTTTAAATATCATAAACATAATTTCAAAATTATTTATAAATAAGCATAAAATATTAATCATTTAAAATTTATGCGTGGAAGAGCAAAACTATATAAGAAATATATTATCATCACAACATTTGGACCAATAATTTAAGATCGTTAATTATGCTATCTTTTTACTGATTGCGAAATGAACAAGATTTTTTTTTGTTATGTTTTTTATTCTTTTTTATGTGCTAATCGATTTAAAAAACGCTAAATTTATTTATATTATGAAAGCAAAAACTATGGCTAAGAAATTTTTTAAGCTTAGCCATTTGCTATAAAAAAGAGTCTGTTCCTCAATCTTGCAGGTATTCTTGGTAACAGTCACACAACTGATCGGAAGTATTCAAAGTTCGGAAATAGTAAATTTTTAGATGAAAAGATAAAATTATGTTGCGTTATACATTAGGAATTGTGATATTTACAGTGCTAGTTTGTGGTTATAATTGTCGTGATGTACTTAAAGAAAAACGTAAGATAATAATTCTTAGAGCATATTTTAATTTAATTATATATATTTATATTGTGTGTTATTAAACAAAAAATTCAATTGTTTCCATTTAATATTATAAAAACAATTGTTCAGCGTTTAATTTGAAAATTAAATCATGAATTATGTTAACATAAAAGCACTAATGTTTACAATCATTTTAACAATAGATACAAATCTAATGAATAATTAACTAATGTGACAGACTGAAACGAAATATACAAGTATATTGGTACTATGTGACATATTTTTTAATGACGTGCAGTTAATTGTGTATTCGATGTATTCAATTTAAATTAACATAAAAATCAAACTAATTAATTTTTTTTGAGATAATAAGTAATTTAAGCCTTAATTAAATTTAACTAAATAATAACATTTGAAAATAATAAGTGTAGGAAAATATACAGATACGAGTCAGGTTCATTTCTATTATCAAAAGCTCATAGAAATCAACCTGACTCGTATCTGTATATTTTCCTACACTTATTATTTTTAAATGTTATTATTTAGTTAAATTTAATTAAGGCTTAAATTACTTATTATCTCAACAAAAAAAAAAAAAAAAAAAAAAAATAAAATGATATTATGATCTATGATCAAAAGCTGGCGCACAATAGATCTTTTAGGTCGGGGTGCACAAATAGCCTATTTAAATAATAATTGATCAAAAGCTTATAAAAAATATATATTCTTTATATACTTTAAAGTACAAATACATTAAAATACATATGCATGGCGCTACAAATATCTTAACGAGATTTTTGATTTATAAAATTTATTATAAATAGAATTGAAATAAATATAAATAGAATAAATAGAATAGAATTGCAATAAAAGTGTCGTATAATGCCTAAGTTGCTTCCAAAAATATTAATATATATTTATGTTCCCCTCCTAAAAACTAAAAAAAATAGATACTATTTAGATTTTTTTACCCTAGTAGAAAGCTATCAAACGGCAAAAAAGATAAAACTACCGCACACTTATGCAATATTGTTATCGGCACTAAAACCAGTGTATCTACTGTTTTATGTTTAGCTTGAATTCTGTCAAAAGAGTAAATAATTGTCTGGCCCGCTTATATATTAGAATTGTGTCATTTATACATTAGACACCTCAGCAAGCCCAGGGATCTAAATGTTCGTATAAATATGAGTTTTGATATATTAATTAGTTTTGATATACCAGCACACTTCATTAATTTTTTGTAAAATTGAGTTTCGCTGCCTTATATTTGATCAACATTTGCTGTTCAAACAGAGATCCATAATTCTATAACGTAAATTCATTTTTCTGTAAAGTTTTCTTACCAACTAAGTTTACAGCTACAATTCAAAAGATAATAAAATTTATCACTCTTTAGCTTAAGTTATAATTTTTCCCTCAACATATTTTTTCTTAGTTAATCTTTAGTCTAAATGAAGGCCGAGTTATTTCACCTAATTCTATTGTTGAATAATAATAATGTCTGTATTAATTAGAAAGCTAATCGCCATTTGAAAGTACATAGTTTGTAAAGTGTAGGCATTTTGTATCAACGGCTTTCTTTCTTTACTTTGTAAGTCTATGCTGTGATGATAGGTTTCGACATACCAATAGTGGCTTATAGTCTCATCTGCAAAAGGTTGTTAACCTATCGCAAAAGGTTTACTTATAAATTGAATACAATAAGGAACCAAGGACAGTCTCTTCTAATACCCAAGCTTTTCTTTCATATTTTCGAGCTAAAAAGATTTTTCAGACTCATTGAGTTTAATGTTTGTAACCCGAACTTTCGAAAATCCCAAGTTCAGTCCAACAAATGGTTTTAGAATCCCTAAATCTGAAATGAAATAAAGTTTTTTCTTGAGTATAAGGCACTATAAAATCCAGACACTCAGTTAATTGAAAATTATGTCCGAATCCAACAAAACAAAATGAAATACCTTAAATAGATTAGGCTACCATTACTCGAATTTCTTAGTTTCTTTAATGAATCTAAAAAGATCGGAAAGAGAAAGTGATTATGAATATCATTCATGTTCAAAATATCACACCCCAACAATCTCAATCTAGTACAAGCTCTTACTGAGCAATGATTGACGAGAGTGGTATGTGTTGCTAACATCCTCGCTGCATAATTTACATATTGAAGCTGTGATGATACATATAATAACTAAGTAGGGCACTACATCCTATGATAGCTTCGATCAGAACTTTAAGATACTAACTCTTTAATTAATACAATTAATGTTAACAAATCTGTACAAATCTTCTTCTACTCATTTTTACACGACACCAACTACTGTTAACACTCAAGTAAATAAAATAAGATTTAGCTTAAATTGTCTAGTAGCAGTTCGAGAAAAACTTAGAATACAAATATATCTGTAAAATCTCGAAAAACTCAATTGCTTTAAATAATTATTCAAGCTCTTTTGGACTCGTCATTTTCTTCGCATCACCCTGTAGTTTCATTCAAGCCTAGTCTACCTTATCTATTCGTGCAATGTCATTTGGATTATTATTTCTTCAATTTTATGAGCAATCGACCTTCAATGGTTCATAACACAATATTGTGATTGAAAACAAAATACACTGCAATGATTTTTATTCCTTCGAATTTTTTAGTTTAGTAAATCACTGTTGTATTTAATGTACAGCAGTTACTGCTATCTGTCGAACAGCTCGAATGGCATTTTTAAAATTGATTATCTGGTAATAATATTTGCCATTTTTATTAGCCATTAATTTTCTTGCTTTTATGTTTGCAATACATTATACGAGTATAAGCTTATCTTAATATCTTCGTATAAATTCAACCGAGTTGTCAGTAAAATAGTTTGTAATTCTAACAAATGTATATCAGATGAGATACCAAAAGATCATCCGATTTTTATTCATGTCTGATATATACAACAAAGCGTTATATACCTTCTTCTTTTTTGTTAGAAGAACAGACTCATTACCTGGACCAAGAAGCATAGGTCATAGAAGGACATAGAACATAGGGCATTTCGATTAAATATCTTGATGCTATTAATACGCTATACTTGTAGTATAACAATAGCTCTATTTCATAAAAATCAATTGATATTGTACTATCACAATAGCTCTGTTTAATTAAAATTAATAGAGGAAAGCTGCCCTTCGGAGAGACACCCAATTGTTTTCGTTATCTAACTTTACCCCCTTACAGTAAATGAAATTTGTTTAATAAGTAATTATATTATAATTATAAGTCTTGAACATAAATAATGAATGAGATCATGAACTTTTGTGTTTAGTATAGCATATAAATTCTATTCACAATTATTTAATTCATAATAATCATGTATTACTTTTCTAACTATAATCAACTATCTAATTTATTAAACAATACACGGTATGTCTTGACAACGATCATTTTCATAAAATGTATATTTCAGTGTACATTACTAATATCTTAGTAATATACTTACACATTACCGATTATATAAGTTGCTATATGGCCTATATACTGATTACGTATACCCACTGATAATACCCACTGATTTTATGAGTTTCTATATATCTTAAGCAAATATAAACTCTCTGTAACTTATATTCTTATTAATATAATAATAGTCTTATTATTATTATTCTAGTCTTACATTAATAATTATATATAAATATAGAAGATTATAAATCTTCAAATAAGTGGTAAAGAAAGTATTTGCTTTCTATTTGTATCATACCTTCACAAAAATGTCTAATATATCATACATCAATGACACCTCGCAATATTAATAACAGAAACCTTAAGCTATTTGGACATTTTTTACTTTAAAATCAACTAGAAAAACTCTAACTAATTATAGTGTTAGAAGTTAAAAAAAAAGAGTATAAATATTACCAATATCATTATTCATTTTACATATCTCTATATGCTTCCAGCTAGCTTTTTGAAGCCCTGTTCATATATGACAGCTGACTTCGATGACTGCTATAGGAGTAATTTGCAAGCAATAATTGTAAATTGGAAAAATGGTTAGTAATATTATAAAAATATATCTTAAACACTTAAATGAAACTTTTTTTTATTTTTAAATAATGTTCAAATTTTTAATTAAAATGTGAACCTCATATTAAAGGAGTACCAGGCTTACCTTCTGCTGGTAAATTTGAGCCCGTCGAAATCAAGAGACTAAAAATCGAACAAAATCAATTAAAAGTTGAAATGAAAAATGTATCCATACACGGTTTAGGCGACACTAAATTAACAAAATTAACGTAAGTTTATACAACTACAACACCTTCTAATTAGAAACACTGTTAAAAATTTAATAATATATTTGCATATTAATATTAGACACAATAACAATGATCTCAGCTTTGTTGTGAAAGCTTCAGTGCCGAAAATGCGAGGTACTGCAAAATACAAAACTGAAGGTAGAATTTTATTTTTACCGCTCAACGGCAATGGAGATATGTGGATTGAAGCAGGTAATTCATTTTAAAAAATATAAAAAATTAAATAGCTTATATATATATAATTATATGTAAATAAAATGAAACTTTCTGTATAACTTGCTAGACAACGCGGATTTTGTACTTAATTTTAAAATTAAATTGCGCGATCACGATGGCTTCACGTTTGCTGAAATACAATCTATAAAGACGAAAATTAAGAATATTGGCGGTTTTCGCATACATTTCGATAATCTCTTCAATGGCAACAAGGAATTAGAATCAAATACTAATACACTTTTTAATGAGAATTGGCGTGATTTCATAGATATACTGAAACCAACCCTTGAAGATACTATAGATGCTGTTATTTTAGCTCGTTTTAAGAAAATTTTTGATTATGCACCCGCAAATTATTCCATAATCGATGTACCTTCCGAAAAAGAATTGGCTGAAAGAAATACTGTTGCATAGAACATATTTTAAGATATAGTAAATGAGCTATTTTGTTAAGTTTTTGATAAAATAATTATTATTAAGATTTCTATAATTATTTGTGATATATTTTTAACCAAATAAAAAAATAAATTGCTTAAAGTATTTTATATATATTTTATTTAAATATGTACCATATTTTGTTTATTATATAGAGTAAACTGACAGTTTAAGCAAAAATTTCGTATGGAATCATGTATTGTTGGCCTGTTAGCCTTCTTCATTCGGATATGTGTAGATTGTGGACTAAAATTTCTTACCCTGAAAGCTTATTATTGAAATCTGTTAGCAAATAAATGTCACCAGGTGACAAATCTACCGAATATGATGAGTATAGTACTAATTTATAACGTGTTCTTCTAGTAAAAGAGAAGGTTTGAGTTTGCGATGTGAGACTTTATTTTGCAAATTCATAACTTAAATATACAAATAATGATATACATATAATATTCTTTGTTGTTTATTTTGCCTTCGTCTAAGTAATCTATTAATATTTTATAATAATTATTAAAAATACATAAATCATTACTTTATTAATCGAAGTATATATTTTTGTTTGCTTTGGACGAACAATAAAGTGTCATTTTGATACTAGTTTCAGATATCTTTGAGGTGTCAGCTACAGCTCCATTAATTTCTTTTTGTAGTAATTCGAAAGAAATCTTGATTACTTTAACTTTTCTAGAATAACTAAAGATTTTAGTTGGTACAGCAAGATGTCTTCCTATGATTTTAAGTTTACACGATGAGCTGCAAACCCATCATGTAAAATATTATAAAATGTTTTCAAAAACTCTTTTGTGAATTCAAAATCAGAATATGTAGGAAAAACCGTAATTTTGTTGAACCACTAAACAGAGTTACTAACTTTTAATGTGTTACAATGAGTTGTACTACAAGTTCAACCAAATGGATCTGTCTGAGAAAACAAAATGTCGACTCCTCTTGGAGGCAGTTGGTATATATAGCCACACTTTTCATGACTATCAGGCATTGGTGTGTATCAAGAGCTAATAATTAAGTATTATGCCGAAAGCTTTTTACTTAATCTAGTTTTCGATAGGTTTTAAGGAAGAAATTTTGGTTTTAATACCAAGAGCTGTTCGTGCTGTCTTCTATACGGTTAGGGTTGATTACTAGCAATAATCATCGTATAGTCGCATTGCTCCGCTCTATTTGTAGTACTCACCTAATATTCAATGGAATATATATATATTATTAAGTGAAAAATTATTTTATAAAAAATTATTATTGTGTACTATATAACAAATTGAATTTAATGATGACCAAAAAATGTATTTGGTTTGACCAAAAAATGCATTTATCTGCATCTGCACCACATAATATTGTCTTCCACAAATCCATAAGTGACTTTGTATTTGGTGAACTTGCAAAAGTATTAACCATTATTACCTACTACAATCAGGTCAAACAATTGAATCGAATTTCTATTGTTAGATATAAATGTGGTTAATGCAGGATATGAAAAAATATACCATTATTGACAACACAACATACCATAATTGACACAGATAAAAAGTATTGTAAATTTCCGTGGCTCGAAAATTTGAATACATACATTACAAAGTACTGACCGCCGTAGATTTATCTTGTTTACATTATAAAAAACTTGCTGTGGTTTTTTTAGAAAATAGTCAGAAATGAACAATAACACAATAATGATTCTATGGAAAAAATAAAGATAGGTCTAAGATTGGCACCATTTGGGTTGAACATTTTTTGTTCTAAATAAAACGCCTAAAATTTTAACTACTGAGTGGAGGAACAATATGGGATTTACTTTCTAGATAATTTTTGACTACTAAATTGGTTAATAAAAGTGTTTTTTTTGGCAAAAAAAAGTTTTTCCCCCGTCATCCAGACAAAATTTATGATTTTACAAATTATAAAAAATTTAAAAAACTGCTTTCATCATGTATTTCTTATTAACAGAATGTAATAAAAATGTAATTACTTAAATATTAAATGAAACACTTAGAAAAAGAGCAATCAGATTATGTGTCCAAACCATAATAAAAGCAGACAACTAACTACTTAGCCAGAGACACAAAAAATATCTCACGTACATGTATCGCATTACTCTGTAAACAGCGGAAAATATCATCAACAAGTAAGAATTTAATTAGTAAAGTCATGCTGACATATAAAATTAAAATTCAAACAAATTAAAATAAATTTATTAGTAATTTATCTTAAATGACTGATTCGGTAATAGTCTTCGGTACCAAAGAAAACGATTTCAAAATTCGGAAGCCGATTCGGATGCGGCGTACTATATTTACTTTGGCCCGTCTCGTACGAAACACTTGCTATTGTAGTATAAAATGTTTATAAAAAATGTAGACAAATTAAAATTAATATTTTTTAATAAACTTTAATAGCTTAAACAAATTTTTCAATTAGTTAAAAAAAAAATTTATTATTTATATATCTTATAATTAACTTTCCAAATTTATAATTATTATAAAATTTTTGACTTTTGACTTTACACCTTTGAACAAACTTCAATTAGCAAACAGTTTGTATATAAAAAAAATAAGAATAAATATTCATATATAAGGGAATTTTTTAATACACTGATCTAGTCTAGATACTACGATACAAAGTCAAGGTCTTCTTTGTTTTTATTTATAACTTTTTTTAATTTATTATAAACATTGTTTAACTTTTTTTATAATGTTTCAACTGTCAACTTTGTTTCAAAAAGTAACTGGTTTTTTACAATCTGCTTAATTTAGTTACACTAAGAACAGAATACTTGATACAGGGTCATTTGTATACATTGTATATTGACAGAGATACAGAGTTTGCGTAGAAGTTAAATAACATTTTGGCAAATATTTAAATGCGTAATTTTTACCCTGTAAATAGACTTAATCTGATAGAGTGACGATATTTAAAACAAGTTTTCCTGAAATTATACTCAAAAAAAAATAAATAAAATAAAATAAGAATTTCTTTAGGAAATATTAAATAAAATGCAGATACAACAAACTTTTGATTTTAAATTATAACAAAGCATTCGCGCATTCACTATAAACAGTTCCGAAAAGTATCTCAAAATAAGCACAAGCACACGAATTTTATAATCAAATAGAGTGTTTCATATAATAATTGAATAAAAATGCTTAACTTATTTAAAAATTTTTTAATCATTGTATTAACAATTATAAATATAACAAATGCCGCTCAATATTTAAGTGATAAACGTAAGTTTAAAATGTTTTTTATCTATAAAAAAATTTAACAAAATTATTCGAAATCTGCAGCTGACTTCTTGAAACCCTGCAATTATGAGGATAAAAGTTTTAGCAAGTGTTTTGCAAATAATTTTCAAGTATTATTCAAAGACTGGAAAGATGGTAATAATAAATTATATGGCTTTAAAATTAAAAAATACATACTAAATGGAATAAATTTTTCGAAAATGTTCTAAGGCGTTCCTGGTCTGAAAACAGTTGGAAAACTAGATCCCATCATAGTGAAACGTATAAAGATTGTACAAGATCCAAGCAGTGGAATTGCACTAAATGCTATTTTAGATAACGTGGAAATAAGAGGAGCCAGCGATGCTATAGTGGAGGAAGCTGTGTAAGTTCGTTTAGATTAAACTCGGTTTAAAAAAAAAAAACAATTTCAACGGAGAGTTATTTTGAACAATAGTGAATAATAACAACACTTTATTTAAACAATAGTTTCTATTGTGGTTTCTACAACCATAATTTACTTTAAAAATCAAAAAATGTTAAATAATATGATTTCATTTATTATAATCACATAATTAAATATTAAATACATATAACAAGAAAAAATAAAAATTTTCAATAACAAGAATCTAAGATAATGTTCCAAGCAGATTTAGAGTAAATAGTCATATTGGGTAGATATCCATAAGACATATCCAATAAAGATATCCAATAAATATTTCTTAAATTTATAAAGGAAAATTTAGTTAGTAAATTAAACACATAAAAAAATAATTTTTGAAATAATATACATATATATAGTATAATAAAATTCAATTATATATTAATATATTTATTGAATATCATTTATCTTTCATATACAATATATTGACTTTTTAATTCGATTATTTTTTTTTTTTAAATGGTAAATATTGTTTATATATATTCGTATATATATTATTTAATGCTTTAAGTTTTAAAAACTATTAAATATTATTAATTTTATAATAATGTTATAAATATTATATGTTAAGTATTATATTAATTATTATAGTATGGATATGCAAAAATTGACTGTTGATGTAAAGTTCACAATACCAAAGATCCGTTTTAACTCGAACTATAAAGGCAAAGGTAACATTTTGTCGCTTAATTTTAATGGCAATGGTAAAGCGTTTTTCGAAGCTGGTAAGTAGTTTTTTTTTTTGTTTTTTGATTTTATAAAATTCATAATTTTTCCTAATTTTCATTTCTAATTAATAGAAAACTTGTCTATGGGCATACATATTACAATGAAATTACATGATATTGATGATTTCACTTTTACCGATATAGAAACACTTACTGTAAATAATGACAAGGTTGGTGATTTCAAAATACATCTTGATAATTTATTCAATGGACAAAAGGATTTAGAGGAAACAGCGAATTTACTTTTCAATGAAAACTTTAGAGAAATCTATCGCATTATGCGTCCTGTTATATTACAAACTGTGGAAGCAATTCTTAAGGACCGTCTTAAAAAGGTCTTTAACTATGTACCATCAAACTTTTTCATAGCAAATTTCCCTAAAGCTAAAGATGTTAAGCAATAGAGAACTAACTATTCGAAAACAAGTTATTTTCTCAGTATAAACTGTTTTTATTACGATGTTATATATACATATATAATTATCTCTGGTCATTGTATTTGCTACTATAACTATCCTAGTTTTATATAAAATTATTTCAAATGTTATCATAAAGTTTAAACAGAAAATATTCTAATAAAAGTTTTGAAAGTGTTATTAAATTTATATAAATCTTTATATTTTTTTTGTTTTGTTTTCAAATTAATTAATTACATCCAGTAATTAATGCATTTAATATATTACAATGAGCTAAAAGTATAAAGTATACAATCTTTGAAGCATTATAATCGCTTTTCTAAATTTTGATATTAACATATTTAACAAATTTAGTTCTAATATATAAAATTTAATTGAGTATTTCTTAAAAGAATGTATAAGTAATATACTTAATTGAAGAGAAAGTAATATACTACCAAGTAGAAAGTCGTAAAGAGTTACTAATAACAACTCAAGTTCGTTATATTTGCAACTATAACTAATTTTTGATTTATAATATTAGACGATTATTAATTTATTGTATTTAAATAGTTTTTTCTCAGCAGACCTAACAAATTCTTCTTGTACCCTAAGCTAGCAATATTACTAGGTATGGCTAAAAACGATAGTTCAATCGACGCATCAACGACAGCCTGAAGCTTCGCTATTAAAAGACAGATTCTTCGGATGCTAAATCTAAGCTAGTACTAAATAAAATCACATTTTAATTGCCTCTAAGGAAACTACTACCAACACCATTGAACTTACAGTGATTACTTCGAATAATTTCCAAACTATCTGATCCCCAATACAATTAGTAGTATATAGTAAGTACAATTGATAAAGAGTGTTCAAATATCTATCATCAATATCTATAAATAACTGTCAGTGTCACTCAATATAGAAAGTACAGACTAAATACCTCAGAATAGCAAAATAATACGACTGATGAAAACTTTATTTCTACAGAGCAGCAAGATTATTATAGAAGAGACTGTTCTAATCAGATAGCTTTTTAATGCAGTATTAAATCCATGTCATATAAAAGGTTGATAATGCACAGAAAGAAGAGATAATTAATAGTAAAAAGTTTTAAAAAACTGGCGAAACCCAGAGTTCCAAAATAGCTGCTCCAATCCACAATTAATAAATGAGAACCCATACAAATCTCTAGCATGCAAAGTCTCAAACTTCCTGAGCAAGAGGTAACTCATTCTGCAACTCTCATTAATTTTAACATTAGAGTTAGTTAGTTATTATATACCAACAATCTGTGCTGACCAAAGACTGCAATTATTGTATAAAATCGAAATAAAGCATCCACCTACCACTAATGACCATTGCCTGCTAAAATTAATATTACAAGCAGGCTCAAAAGACATCACTATTGAGACATATACTTCATGTGAAAATACAAATATATTATACTAGCTTTATAATAATAAATATAACAAAACAATATAAAAGACTGCCTTCTCATAAGACAGTTTTATTCCTAATACCAAGTACCAATTACTACAAAGGTGAGAACTTGCAGCGGATTTTGCCACTGCCTTGTAAAGTTTATGTTATTAGCAGACTCCAAAGATAACTCACAATTTAGACTTGTGTTATAGTTCAAGTGGAAATGCCAAAAATATTATATTAATTTTATGATAATTAATATTATGAAACATATATTTATTATAATTCAATTACAAGTTAACAATATATGGTAATTACTTTCGACATTATAACTGCTTTGTACTCAGTCGATAAGAGTATAAAGCAGGTTTGTTTCATTTATACTTTGCAGATTAAATTTTAATATTAAAAAGTAGTAATATATGAAAATATAAATTTAAATTATTGCCTTTAATTATTATAAAGTAATAATATGCAACAGATTCCAATTTATTAAACATAACTACCTATTACAGTATATTCACCAGAAGTTCAAATGGAACTTATTTATATCCGTACATAAATAATACTCTATTTATATCTATAT